CCTGCGAGTTTTCATTTGTCGAATGAACTGTTTATCTACAGAATACATATATTTTAGAACAATTTTCTTTTTAAAATGTGGATAAAATGTTTTGCTTTTTATGTATTGTTTTTGATTTTATAACTTTGAACTAAACAGATTTTCTATTAGCTTCAGATCTTGATCAAAGTTTGGCACCCAGTTCATAGGAGTGCTTATATTGATTTTCTGACATCTTGTTTTCTTTAAAGATTTTATTGGTAGGTTTCCAAATGTGTATCAGACTGTGCAATCTCTCCATGAGTTTGTTTTGAAACCCAGTATGGGATTCTGGGATACATTAACAAGGATATTATTACAAGATAAATCAATTGTTTCATTGAACACATACAACAATGCATATTTCCACTGAGATCAGTGACCTTTGATGTGTATCATCAGTAATCAGTCAAGTAGAAACAGTCAAAAATTTTTATCAGATTTTCTCAATTTTTGCATGATATTTTCATACAGGACATCTGTTGTTCAAACTCAGGGAAGACTTTATACTGATGAATAAGGTGACCAAGTTTGATGAAGTTTGGAATAGAATTAGTAAAGTTATTATGCACACAATAACAATTATTAACGACGCCGGCGGCGACAACAACAATGCCGGACAAAATTTTCCCCTTAATATACCCTTCCCTTCCATCTTTGATGGTACAAGCAAGGTAAAAATGATACCTGCTTACAGACCTTGTCATACTGACAAGATTTATTAATTGCATGCCACCTTGCAACCCTATCAGCTACCATATATCCAGTTACAATACTTAGTAGTGACCTTTACCAACTTCATGTGATGCAATGCTAGAGAACGTGCCATTTCTGATGTCTTTTTAATCCAATGTCAGTCTTCTATGTGTCCACTCAAAATCTTCTCAACAAATCAGAATCTCCATTGCAGGCCCTATGTACACTTTAATGCCCAGTTTCTGGCATTACGATTTACACATTTATGCACTATAAACTTTCATCTGATAAAGTCAACATAACATAGAATCTCATGTAGGTTGGTTAAAATCTAGATTTTCTGAAGGGAAGCAAGGCAGCTTCAGTTGTGTTTCAATCTGTGTGCCTATAAGTTTCAAAGATTAACTCAAGACACGGTTACTAAAAAAGATGGTTAGGAAACAAACCATGTTCTTTTATTGAATGCGTGTCGCGGGTAAACATTTGAAACAAAAGACGTACTAATCTGTGATAAATCATTAACATAAAATGTAGACAGGAAATCACGCAAATATGACCTTATTTTTCCCAGAGTTCATTGCAATCAACAACTGCACGCCATTTTATTGTGTCTCTGTCGATACTTTCAGTAATACTAAAGTGTAAGTTGTTACAGTGAATCCTGACAAAACCTGTCGCTCAGTTTAAACTCAATACAAATGTGTCTGTTTTGTATGGCATTTTCGTTTCTAAAGAACAAGATCAGCAGAAAACTGAAATGAAAAAACCAACAAAACATGATCAGAAAAAAAGACGTCAAAGAAACCATACAAGTGTTTATATTTCAGCCATGCGAAAGTTTTAATGAGGAGCAATGATACTACATACATACATTTTGTTGGAAATAAACAAAATATGCGATAAGATAACTGAAATGAACGGTTAAAAAGGATTCGAAAAATTGATTTGGCGAAGAGACTGCTAGACAGTTGTACCGACAATTCAATGTGTTCAAAAATTGTAGCGTTGACTAAAACCACATTTAACGGCACGCTGAATATTGCAACATGAAAAAAATGCCAAAAAACTAAAACAAGGACAGACAAGAACAATTAAACAGGCATTTAATGAAACTGGCGAAAAATGTTGAATACATTTTTCAACGATTTCTACGGCGTCTACAAAAAAAAGTGTTAAGACCTTAAACAAAATGGCTGATACAGTGACGCGAAAGCAAAATGATAAAATGTTCTCTAATAAGCCCCCAAATCGCATACAACCGTCATAAGTACGCACAGTAGTATACTAAAAATTCATTTGGTAGTATTTTTTATAATAATAATGTGTTTTAAAATAATTAATTTTCGTCACTTTTTCTTCCGGGACCCAAACTTACAACAGGACAACAGTGAAAACGATAAATGAATAAATTCGCGGGACATAAAGTAATCGACACAAAAATGAAACAAAATGGTGGGCCTAGAAATCTCAAAGCAATGTTAGGATGTGTTATCAGTATCTATCTGACACCCAATGAGTGTTTCCAAACATTTGAGTGGTTTGTCTCCGCCCCTGTTTGTTTCACAGATTAGTCATTTGCATATGAATGTGCAAGACACAAGGTCACACAGCCACTGAAAAAAATTCATTGATTTTGGTGTTTTCATATGCCGAATTTATCCAATTATAGCTATCCCATTCCTTTATTTTTTGGTTTCCAATAGCTTTACACATTTGGATGTCCCTACACATGTTAAAACAGACCTTGAAGGGGAAACAAATCGCTTGTGCAGATAAACAAGCTTGAAAATCTTTGCTGTGACTTCATCGAACGTTTTCTAAGAGTTTATGTTTTTCAAAATACAAGGTCTTTAACAAAAAATAACGTATATTTATTGTCGTAGGATTAACACCAAATTTTCACAGCTTTAGGGGGACAATGAGAGGAACTTGAATGTGTCCAGACAAACTATTTCATGGATTATTTACCAATGTGTTGTGGTTTGAGTTGGCGGCAATGCGAAAAAAAACAGAAATTAAAATTCAGAACACTACTTTTCAAAATGCGTTGCTTGAATAAAACTGACCAGACACATTCAATTTACCAGACTATTGAACAACTGGGGAAAGTGAAAAAAAAATACTTCTTATCACCAGAATAAATTTACAAAAAAAGTAATTTTTCACTTTTGATTTAAGTAACGCACCATAGAATGCAGATACGGGCATGGCAAACACACCTTTGAAAAGCTTGAAGTCTGGCGATTCCAAAAATATATACTTTCCTGGGTCTATTTGTAGTCATTTGGTCATAATCAGAAGATGAAAACAAGTTTGCAAATAATAGTCCCGCTACCTTAAGGGCAAATAATGGGTGGGATTTCAACCTAAGCTTGATTAACCTGTAACTAAATGTTTGTCATTGGCTTGCAGTTTTGCTACATCTTGAATACTCGTACGTACATGTCACAATTTCATGAACAATGGAACTGTAACATTGTGAAATGTCCAAAAATTGCATAATGGAATAAGATTTCTGAAATCATTTGTGTGGCCCAAAGTTTGAAAGATATAAATACAATTGCACACTATCAATATACAAGATTGTATATGTTGTAAATATGCTTGAACCAAACACTGGTCTTTCCATTCCATTTGAAATGCACAATATTCTTTGCAATAATGCTCTTTTTCACCGCAACATGCAAGCTAAATCCCCTCCCAAAAGTTAGACTGATAGGACAGAACTTATTTAATGTATGGGATGGAATGAACTCCACAAATATTATATTCAAGACTGGGCGTTTGTCTGGCATTGTTTAATTTTTTTGTTAACATTTTGGTGCCATAGTCTATGTTTAAAAGA